GTGTTCATTGATGGCTTCAGCATCACCAACAACATCCTAAGGCAAGACACTATTACTCTCTGTAGTGTGAGAAGCATGATGACTTGGGGGTGCAGATAAGAGGCAAGTGGTGGGAGATCATAGATAGGAATCACAGTTGACACTGATATTGATACTGTTGATTCAGCTAGTGGATTCTGGAGAGAGATAAATTTTTAAGGCAAGAAAAGCAGCTTTACCTTGAGAATATTCATCAAGAGTGTCTTTGAAACTACTGGAGTGAAAGTCAAGTTCTTTTAACAATGTCTCTAACATGCCGGACATGGTGCTAGGGCTATAAAAAATAAGTAAGACTTGCAGTTTCCGATCCAGTATTTAAGAAGCTTAGAATTCGCCACTCCACTCTAACAAGTAAAAACCTGAATGAGCTGAAAAACAACTATTTTTAAATCTATAAGAGAAGTGAGGTCACAGGGTGAACCACTAGCCCGCAAATTGGAGACACTGAAAAGAGAATACAGAGAATCACAAGGTACCTGAGCAGAAACTCCTAAGTAGAACGTCAGAGGGAACCAGTATCAGGGTCGGAAAACCTGAACCGTTACTGACGAATTGCTGTAGGCTTGGTGTGAAAAAGTCTTGAACGCTAAAATCTGGGAGCACCTACACTTCTGTGAGTTTCACCTCCTGGAGCTCTACCAGGTTCTCACAGTGATTATTAAAGAAAAATCCCCTCTTACTACCTGCAGGAGGACTGGAAAAGAAACTGTTTTGAAATATGCAGAGCATTCTGTTCTTAACAAGTCTGCCTTTAGGAGGAATTATTTCCTGAGAGCCTAACCTGCTGGGAATTTACCAGTGCCTGAATGACCTGGGGAAAAGTAAATGCTCAATTCCAGGTCCCAGCCTTTCAGGTAGAAGGAAAACACCCAACTCCAGCTCACTCTAGCCATCCTGTCCCACCTAAAGGAAAGGGGGAAATAAGAAGATTTAAGCTAAATCAAGCTAATTACCAAATGCATTCCCTCACATACTTCCTATTTTTGTGTGTGTGGTGAAAATTAAAATCTACTCTCTTAGCAATTGTCAAGTATATGATATATTAATTATACTCACCATTTGTA